CAGGAGGCGGGGCAGGCGCGGGGCGGGCGGCTTCTGGGTGGAGGGGCACTTCGAGGAGGGATGGGGGCCGCAGACTCTCTGGTCTCGCCCCCACCCCTTCCCCCCACCCCACCCCCGGCCTTTGGGTACCGGAGGTCCAAGGAGCGGCCAACTGGGATCTTCCAGACACCGGGAAGGATGCTTGCGGGAGTGGAAGGGTCGGTGTGTGCAGGGAGCAAGGATGCTGCGCCAGCACCGAAGGGGACCCCTCTCCAACGGAATACTGGGCTGGGACGGAGCCCAGGAAGTTAGGACGGTGGGCACAAGCTGATCTCTACTCCCGTCGCCCAAAAGCCCCAAGGAGAGAGCGGGTGGGTGTTGGGCGCTGTGGCATAATAAACTGCAGCCACGCCGGCACCCGAGAAAGAAGCCAAGTTGAGGGGGTGGGGGAAGCAGGGAGATGGCTGCAAACCCCAACTCCTAAAGCGTTTCTGCCCAGACTGGGTTCCCGTCGGGCCGGAGGGGTCCTGGGAGACATCGTGTGGCTGGGCGGCGAGCGCCCCCTGCCGCTGTCTGCAGCACGCAGTGTCCGGGCCCTGGAACGCTCCAAGCCCGAGGGGCAAGCGAGTGCTCGGAGATTTATGGCTTCAGTCGCCCTGTCTCTCCTGCAGCTGCCTTGGTTTCCTCCGTTGAGGAGAAAGAGATGAGGGAAATTGGCTTGACTCAAATCTAGGCAGCAACCAAGATGAAGCCAAAGGTTTGTTTGGGAGAGGGGGCTCTGGGCAAGCAACCTCTTGACCCATAGCAAGAGGATGTCCCCAGACGCAGAGCAAGGAGACTTAGTGGGGTTCTCAGGATCAGCTGTGAAAGGAGGAGCTTCCCTCGCTCCCTGTCCAGTCCCGCCGACTGCCCACATGCACACTGCGCACCCCTCTCTGGTGGCTGTGGGAAGAGGAGTTGAAGTAAGAAGAAATTTCCAACTAAACGCACACCCCACCCACTCCGGCCCTGGCTTCAAACAGCTGTGGAGCCACGGCTCTCCCTCAGGAAGCCTGTTCCTATCCTCCCAGTGGCCACCGCCACCAGGGCCACCTGGGCAGCCACAGGGGCACTTTTTTCTGTGCTTCCAGAGCACTTCATGCTATCAGCCCAGACTAGAGCCTGGCCTTGTATTTCTGGCACAGTGCTGCCTGACGTCCTCCGCATAAATAGGTACCTATCCAACCCAGGGAAGCAGGACTGGCCTTGGGTCACTGGACCTTCCTGTCAGCTGCACCCTCATGGTAACACTGAGTGCAACCTCTCGGGCTCACAGACAATGGCTCATCCCTGCCCAGTCTCAGATGGGTGGCATCCCAGATCCTCCAGCCACATGGAGTGGGTGGGGAGGTGTGTTCCTCCTTGACCCTGGGCTGCCAGCCTCGCCAGAACCTCTGTTAGGTTTAAGTGCCCACAGCCAAATGGGTCCAGTGTTGGCTGGGCTGGGTTCCAAGCGGGCAGCCAGCCTCTCTTGCCCTGTCAAGAGGCACATTTTATGGATGCCTCCTCCCCACTCACTGGGCTGGGTCTGCACCCACAGTTGCCAGGAATGGAGAGGTCTCAGGAACCACTTCCGTGAGGAAGGACGGAGGGTGGACATTGGAGCCTGGGGAGCAACCACCTAAGTTCTTGCCTGTCTCTGTGGCTCCCTGTCCCCAGCTGTGCAGTCCGAGAGCCCTGGCGGCCCAGACGAACTTGGAAAGGACGACTTGTGCCCTCTCCAACCACACTCAGGTGGGGGCTGGGGCCGGGGCAGGGGTGGGGGGTGGGGATGAGGTCCAGACAACACAATCAGCAACAGCCTTCGTCTCTGGCCCATTTTCCTTAAAAGGCCAGGCCTCGGGGCTGCTGGAGAAACCGAGGTCAGAACGACTTTTCTCCCTTCACTGCCCCATTCAGGTCCCCACTGCGGGGTTCTCACCTGAGGAAGCAGCCCCGGGTCTGCCCAGCACCAGGCCCTGCTGGGTACCAGCCCAGGTGGAGACAGCCAGAGCTTGTCTACAAGCGCCCAGGAGGCTCAGTCACCGCCCGGGCTGTGTCACCTGCTGCCACCTTTCAGCCCCGCCCTCCAGACGTGCCTCTGGCTTTGGGGGCACTGGGGGGCATTATATAACTGGATTTCTGTTCCTCTCTGCAGCTCTCCATCTCTTCCACGCCTTCCAGCTGCCCGTTCCACCCAGCCCGGCAGGAATCAGAGCCTCAGGCCACAGCAGGGCTTCCTTCAAGTACATCTGACTTTTCATTGCCATCCTGTTCTACCAGGCAGAGTTCAGATCCAGACCTACAAGCAGCCAGCAGCAGGAACTGCCTAGGGCAAGCAGTGGTCTGCCTCCCTGGCACCACCAGGCTACATGTTGGTCCCTGGGCGTGCCCTAAGCTCCCCCATCTCCAGTCCTTTTCAGGGGCTGTTTACTCTGACGGAAACACCCTCCTTACTCTCTTTCTGTGCTTGGTGGGCCCCGCTCTCTCTTCAAGGTACACTCATCTGTCACCATCCCCACAGACAGAAGGAGGTACCCTGTTCTCCACTCTCCTTGATTCCATGCACACAGCACCAGTCTCCCGCTGAGAGCACTGTTCTGAGATGGTGTCCAGTGGGTTTCCTGTGTCACTCCCTCCATCAGAGCAGACATCCTGTTGAATGGTGACAGGCAGCTACCAGGCAGGTAGGGGGCCCAAATGAAGGTGCCCTCAAGGGATGTCCTTGGAAAGGGGGGCCCCATGGGCAAGGTGACCTGGTACCATCTTTCTCAAAGAAGGAAGTTGTTCCACCCCTGGCTGTAAGAATACAGCAAGAGTTGTGCCATCTTTGCTGGAAGCCCTGGACTCTCTTCTGCAGGCCTGAGAGGTGAGACTGGCCCCAGCTCCTCCCAGGCCAGGGCTGTAGCAGCACAGCGCCCGCCAGGACGATCCTCAGACCACCCTGTACGGCCCGACCTCACCCCTTCCCAGACCCTTGAACAGTGCTCTCTGATGTCAGTCGGTCATCCCCCTCCCTCCACCACACTCACCTAACAACAGCCCAACCTTGGTCAGAAGTAAATTCTGACTTTCTGCCTTTGACCAAGTGGCTGCCTTTTCCGGACAGAACACTCACGGCATTGACTGGCCTTGCTTTCCATTCATGACCACAAGTCTGCAGACTTTCCTAGAGCTTGGTTCCCTCTGTTCAGAATCAGCTTTGCTTTTATTATCCTCTCCCCACCTCTCCCACCCACCCCTGCCCCTTGGCCTCTGCCCCTAAGCTGTGGCTTTGCCTCACACTCAGGAGAAAGTGGAAGCCATCAGATGGGATCTCCAGGCTGTCGGCCCGCATGCTCCCTGGTCCACTCATTCCGGTTCCAGCAGCCTCAGACGACACGCGCAGCCCTGGAGCCCCCCCCTCCGCCTTTGGTCCTCAACCCCTGCATCCAGTCACTGGTGTGAGTTCCTCAACCTTGAAAACACACTCCAATAGCACCCACTTCTGCCCATTTCCGCCACCCCAATGGCACTTGCTTGCACAACTGCAGTGGCTTCCGGCTGTTCTCCTTGTTCCCATCCATTTTCCACAGAGCAACAGAATGGCTTTTAAAAGATTAAATCAGACCTTATCACTCCCCTCCCTAGAGCCCTTCAGCAGCTGCTCCCTGCTCGTCCCAGAGAATAAAATCTCTCCTCTCTGATGGGCCCGGCTCTGCCTGCTCCCCACTCTGCATCCCCCAGTTCGCACAGGCCCCACACACTCCCTTCCCGCCTTTGCACTGGCTGTCCCTTCTCCAGGCTCTCACCGGGGAGCCGCATCCTGTCATTCAGGTCTCAGTTGAAATGCCAGCACCAGAAAGGAATGCTCCCTACCCCACTGCAGGTGCTTTTTTTTTTTTACCTGCCTGTGTACCTTCCATCCCTCTCCCCACCCAAATAAACATAAAAACAGAAATTCTGTCTTGCTTACCACGCTATTCCCTGTGCCTACAACAGGACCCACCTGGCACCTAGTTCATGACAGATGTCTGTTGACTGAATAAACTGATCAGTGAGTCCCCATAGCCATGTGGTTGGGGGTCGGAGAACAGGTCACAGACCCTGGGATGGGGTGGCCAGCCACCTGGGCTCTGCCTGGTTAACACCCTCTCAGGGGCTAAACCAGGGCTGGGTAACCAGGGGCAGGGTGGGGCTTGTGGAACAGGTGTAGGCTCAGAGCTGGCTTAGGGAATGGGCTCTCTAGAGATAGATAGGTGGCTTCATGGGGATATGACACAGCCTCGTCCCTACCCACCCCCAAAGAGGAGGAGGGGTGCTCTTCCCCTTGTACCAGCAGGTTCTGCCAGCCTTACTTCAGTCACTGGAGGGTGCAGATTCCAAGACCAGAGCCATAGTCTAATGGAGGCACGTGATGGGAGGCCTCTGAGAGCTGGGAGGACCTCACTGGACACAAAACATGTCACCTCCTCCAACTGATGTGGCCATCAGGAAACCCCAGGCCAGAGGCAAAGGCCTGGCTCAGCCACTCAGACCTGAAGGTTGTGAGGCAGGCACACCCATTTCCTCACAAATGGGGGGGGCACCGAAGGTGATGTGTCTTAGGGTTGGTCCAAAGACTTTGCTTAGCAGTCTTCTAGGGGAGCTGTCACTTGCTGGGAGCATGGCCAGAACCCCAACTCACTCTAAGTTCAGGTACCTTCCCCCATGCCTGGGAGCAAGAACAACAGGACAGCATTTCCCCCACGTGATCCTCCACAGAGGCTAATGCTTGAGATCAGGGTCCTGTTTGGTCTCACAAAATCCTTGCCCCGAGAGAGCCTGAGGGCAGATGCTCAGCATCCTGAGTGTGCCCACATGTCCCCTGAGGCGTGCAAAGGCCAGGCTCAGCCTGCACTCCCCCTCTGGAAAATGGGTATGACCACCTGAGGACCGGCCCAGAGCAGTGAGGAGCTGCAGAAGCACTCATGTGCACGTGTGTGTGCGCGCGCACGCATTTTAGTCACCACAGCACCCAAAGCCTGGAGCAAACACCCGGCTTTATTTCTGCCTCCAACATCTGAGGTACCTGGCACCAGTGGGACAGGGCATGGGCTCCTGTTCTCCCCCACCCCAGGTCACAGAATAGCACCACCAGAGGGCTCCTGGTGGGCTCGCAGGCACCCCTGGAGGTGTTTTTTGCTCCCAGAACAGCCCTCCCTGGGAAGGCCAGGAGCTGAGGACAACTGGAGACTGGCTGAAGGGGGGCAAGCAGGGTAACCTGCCCAGCCTGTTGCCACCTTTTAGGGCCTCCTGTAGCCACAGGGGAAGGAAGACTCCTGGAAATAGCAACGCGGAGTGGTAAGGAGCTTCGAGTTCTGTACTCAGGGTCCTCACGCCTCTGCTGCCTTTCCCACTGTGCATGTGTAGAGGGCCCCAACCTCTTCCCTGTCTCCCTGTGGTGACACCCCCATGACTCTGGAGCCTTCCTGAACTTCGGGGGAGGGAGGTGGGCTCAGAACCTCCTGGGGAACAGGGCAGCATTCCCAGCCCCCAGGTATCAGGGACAGGAGGCTGCTCCCACAGTTCCAGCATGGGGCTCCCCTCAAGGCCTGGCCCATAGGAGAGGTGGGGGCAGTGCCATTAGTTCACACTGGGGGACTGGGCTTCAGCTACAGGAGGACTTCCACAGCCTTGAAGGCTAGAATCTTTTTCTCACCCCTCCAAACCCCTGTCCCTGGGGCATGTCACCTCCTAGTCCCAGCATCCTCCAGGGCTGAGGGAGACATGAGAGCAGGCAGAGCCAGGTGTTCCCAACAGGCCTGCCTTCCCCGACAGACCTAGATGGTCCCCCTTTGTCCCCAGGAGCCCTTGGGGAAACATGGTAGGAAAGGAAGGGGTAAAGGGAGAGGTGTGGGCCTCAGACAGGGAGGCCAGACTGAGGCTGGAAGACAGGGGTGTCACCCAGAGGGGCCAAGGGTTGCTTGACCCAGCTGCTCTGGGTTGAAGATGCCCTCCCCACTTAGGCACAGAAGCCACAGTCTTGACCTCTGGGTCTATCCTTGAAAGGACCCAGAGCTGGATTCCCCAAAGCAGCCTGGATAGGGGCAGGCTGCTCTTCTGCTTCTAGAGACAGCACTAGGGGTACAGTGGGCCCTTGGGCCTGCCGGGATGACTCCAGGGCAACACCAGGAGCACCTGCCCCAGCCCTTGAGCCTGTGGAGGAAACTGAGGCTTGAGGCCTCTGTGCAGAGGCCTCCACATCGAACTTCCGCGGGGCGGGCGCCTCCCACTCCAGCGGGCTCTCGCCAGCTCTGGAGTCTCTGGGGTTGGGGCTCCTGGACTCTGCCAACAACGCCTCCAGAAGCCGCTGCAGGTGTGGTCCAGAGGCAGGAGTGGGGCTCCCACCATCGCCATGCGCCTGGAACCCTGGGGCAGAAAAGACAGGTCATGCCCCGGAACTGCAGTAGGAAAGTGTGGCCCAGCTGAGGAGAGCCGGAGCTGTCTTCAGTGTTATTCACAGGGATGTAGCTCCTCTCATGGAGGTGATGGCCCACTGTGCTCCTGCTGAGTCCAATACCTTCCAGAAGTTTTAAAGGTTTTCTATTTATGCGTAAGTCTTACATACATCTGGAATTTATTGCCACATGATGTGAATTAGGAATTCATTTTTTAAAACAGGTAACTAGTTGCCTTAGCCCATAGTTGTCCCTCCCTGCTCACTTCTGCAACCCCATCTCCCACCATGTCACCCTCACTGACACCACCTCGGTACAGGGATCTTCTCCAGGTTTCTCGAATCACCCTGCCCCTGTCACTCACCTCTCCCACGGGGGCTGGGGCCACTTGCGCTGCAGTCGTAAAGCCGGAGGACCCGTGTGATGTCTGAGGTGCTCAGATTCCATCGCTGGCCAATGTGGACACTGGGGTTCCAGAGCGGTGTGATGGTGGGCAGCCCGCGCCGGCTGAAGGCGAGCCTGGAACCCAGCAGGCAGGGGTCTGAGTGTGGATCACGGCGAGGGCCGGCCAGGCAGGGCAGAGGGAGGGAGAAGAGGGAGGGGCCTCACCTCCCGTAGTGCATCACGGATGAGTAGTCGTAGGGCGCCAGCATGTTGCTGCTCCGAGATTTGATGAAGTTGATTTCAAAGCCTGAAAAAAGTATCAATGGGGAAAGCGAATGGGTGTGGGGGTGTGGGGGTGTGGGGGTGTGGGGGTGTGGGGGTGTGGGGGTGTGGGGGTGTGGGGGTGTGGGGGTGTGGGGGTGTGGGGGTGTGGGGGTGTGGGGGTGTGGGGGTGGGGACAAGGGACTTCCAGGAGGTGAGCTGAGGGGCTCAAAATGACAGCTAAACATGCTTCTTCCCACCCCTCTCCCCCCAACGGGCCCCTGGTCCTGTCTCTCCTGTGTGCCTTCACTCTTACTACCCCTGACCTGGGAGGGTCCACACCCGCACCAGGCCTCCTAAGCATTTCCCACCTGTCTTATCATCTCACGCTCACCTTGTAAAAGACTAGTCTTTGTCTCCCTTGAAGCCGCTCCCTCTCAGAGTGCCTTGGATGCCCCTGCCCCCCAAGTGAAGGGCCTCCTCCTCAGCCGGTTTTACAGGCCTGCTAGCCCATCATCTGCTGCGCTGAACCCCCACTCCCCACAGCAAGCCCAGCTGTTCTAGCCTCAAGCCAGCAGCACCCGCGCCCACGTTCGGAGTCTAGCACTCCCCCGTTGGCCAGAGCGCCCACTTCTGTTATGTCACCTGGTGCTCCGGGCCTGGGGAGGGCAAGGCTCCCTCCCCTTCTCTCCTGTCCTTCACAGTGAGCCTCGGAAGGGAGAGCCGAGCCCTCTGTCTCTGTCCCCCCCCCCCCCCGGGGCCGGAAGCCCTGCTCCAGTCCCAGCCAATGGCAGGCCCTCCCCCTTGTCACCATGAATCAAATGGCATCCCAACTCCTGCCTAAAACGTCCGCTCCTAGAGAGTGCGCATTTCTTCCTTAAAAACAAACACCCTCCAGTTGGTAAACAATTCGAAACAGGTAGTATATTCATCTGGTTCAAAAGTGAAAAACTTTCGATTCAGTGTCTCCCACTCCACCCCCTCCTGAACACCCACATCCCCAACACCAGTTAGTTACTGCTGATAGTTTGCATGTCCTGGCAGGGTTTGTTGGGTACCTGTTAACCAAATGCAAATATTCTCATTTTTAAAGTTCTGAAGCAAGTTTCCCCATTAGGGTAGCAGGCGTTCTCACCTGTTTTATTGTTAAGAAACAGTTCCTGAGTCTATTAGTGCTTTTCAGTTTCCTGGCTCACTAATTTCTGCTTTTACCTTCGTTAATTCCCTCCTGCTTTCATTTTTTCTGAACTTGGACTGAGATGCTCACTTTGCTCTCTGCCTGTTGATAGAGTGGTCAAGGCACACGGTGTCCCTAGTCCCTGCTTTCGCTGTGAACCGTTGGCTCTAATGCGTGTATTAGAACACATGGGTTTTCAGGAGCATTCCATAACCACGTGGAAGGGGTACAGTCTGTTTTCAGGGTGCAGAGTCACCAGCACCCTGCACTTCCCTAGACTGATTCTGATCCCCAGTGTCCACGCCCTGAGCCCACCCTTCTCAGACTCCAGGACGCTGGTCTGCCTCAAGCACACGCAGGCCTGACCCCCTGCGGCAGCAGCCCGAGTGCCTGTGCTGAGTGCCCTCTGCCTGCTGGAAGCCTCCAACTCCTCCCTCTTCACCCACACCCCAAACTGAACTCCTGACCATGCATCTCTGCTCCCCATCTCTGCCAAACAGTTGTCTGCTCCTAACACCTCCTGAACCAGGCTATCCCCCCCCCAAGAGGGCAGGGTCCCCCAATGACCGGGATCAAACCTGCCATGCCCAGCCCTGTTCCCAGCACACAGGCATTGGTGTACTGGCCCACTCCCCGGACCAGCCTCCCCACACTTCCTTGGTCCTCCACGCCCACCAGCACTCCCGCAGAGGCACCAAGCGCCTGAAGCACTGCCCTCAGCCACCCATCTGACACTGGACACGTGCAATCCACTGCCTGCAGGCTCTGCTCAGCTCAGCCCCGCCCCACCCACATGGCCAAATGCAAGAGGGACCGCTAGCTGGGGTACAATGAGCAAGGCTCCTGTACCCAGCGACCCATTTTCAGGTAATCGCCAGTGTTCACGAGGAGAAATGGTGATGCCCCCACCTAGGGCGCAAGACTGCAGGTGGGCAGGTGAAGGCTTAGAGCTCAGAGCAGCACCATCTGGACCACTTCCCAGGCCTCAGAGAGACAGGCGCCCCGCCTTTCCCAGGGAAGACAGGCAGATGGCGGGAGAGACGGGCAACCTCTTCCAAATAGCCGGGTAACTCCTCGGACCCTGGGTCAAACCTGCAGCCTTCTCTCTGGACTCCTCGGCCCAGCCCGGCTTGTGCAGCACCTGGTTTACCTGGGAGGATCTCATTCCAGTTGACACGAATGTAACGGTCCCGGTCAGCACGTGAATGTTCATGCCAGAAGCCGAGCACATGCATGAGCTCATGCAGGGCAATGCCCGGGCCCCTCTGGAGACAGGGGGGAGCCAGGGACACCACCTGCATCCCTCCACTGCGCCCCACGCTGGAGAAGCACCTGCAGGGCCATGAGAGAGAGCTGGGCTGGCACCAGCCCAGAGAGAGCTAGAGCAGACCCAGCCCATCCCCTCCTCCCTAGTTCTGGGATAAATGAGACAAACATGGAGTCGCCACCTGGACTCCAGTTCCAGGCTTGCTCTTCCCAAGTCCCTTCACTGCCCGGTCTTCTGTGAAATGGATGTACTGAGCCCCATTACCATCCTGGGTTACAAAAAGGTGGTAGGAACTCAGAGTAACATGGGTCATGGACGCAGCTAAGTGAAAGTACCCATTCAGCAGGGAGATGTGAATCAACGCTACCACACACATTAGCTAAGGCCCCTGACAAGCTAGGAAACAGCATCACCCTCATTTCAGAGAGAAGGTAGAAGCTGCTCTGAAGTCGAGGGCTGCCTGGAGTCAGGCAGTTCCTGCATTGTGGACCTGCATCCAAGGCCAGCACTGTCCCACCAAACCTGCACTCGCCTCCCAGACCGTGGAGTCTCCTAGGGATGAAGGCTTCATAAAGGAGGGCCGAGCACCTAACTCCCTCTCCCCACTTTCTGCCCTGAGCACTATAGGTCCAGCTCACATCAGGCAAGACACTCAGGGGGAGCGGGGGTATTTGGATCTGGGCAGACAGGCCCAGAAATGGGTTTCAGACAATGGCTTAGTTCATTTCAGGCTGAACACAGGGGAGAGCTGAGGAACTCACCTCGCATGTGCGTACACAAACACACACACCCAGGGGCACTTACCCAGACATGGGCATGATGGAGATGAAGTCTCTCTGGCCATGGTAGGCAACAAACCTGATGCATGTTAAGCGCTCAAACTCGGCAAACGCCTGCAGGATGACCTTACGGCTGGGCTCATCTGGGGAGGAGACACCTGGCTGAAACCCCAGCCACACCCCCAAGAGCCCTCATGGCCCCTGGAAGTCTGTATCCAGGGCAGGGAACGAAGCTTCAAAAGTCACTCAAATCACCCACCTGAAGTGTCAAGAAAAGGCAGCATGATCATGTAAGGGGAAACAGCTGGGCTCCAGACAGAGGCCACTGTGTCCCAGCCACTTGGTCTCAGAATGGATCAGACAATCCCTTGATGTACCTTATCAGGTCCTCCAGGATCTTAAGCCCCCTTCCCCAGCTCAGGGGGCCCCAGGAATAAAAGAGCTTCTGTGTCTGTGAGGCTTCTATTTGTTTTGTGAGTTTGTTACTTTTTGGTTTATATTCCACATATGAGTGAAATCAGGTGGTTTTTGGTCTGGCTTATTTCACTTAGCATGATACTCTCAAGATCCATCCACATTGCTCACAAATGCAAGATATCTCCTTCACGGCTGGGTAGCATCCCATTGTGTATATGTCCCACGCCTTTATTTTTAAGGAGGGTGCTTCTGGGGAAAGGGCTCTTTGGGCAGTGCTGAGAGGGGGCCGAGGGCATGCACAGGAAGAGGAGAAAACCCAGAGAGGAGCGCAGGCTGCAGGGAACAGGGGCGGGAGCCAGGAGCGGGACGGCGCTGAGCTCCTAGTAAACACTCACCGTATTTGCTGGAGAGCAGGAAGGGGACCTCCACCACACCCCCATTTTGGGGCCACTTGTTGCTTGTAGCTGACAATAGGCGGAAGGGACTCTAAGGAGAAAGGGCAGATTTCAGGGGCCCCCGGGGACACATACCAGACAAGCTTTATGCCAGTGTGCCACACCTCAGACCACAAGAGCCCTGAAGATGTAAGTGGCCTGACAGGCACGTGACGGTGGGGAGGCCATTAAAAATAGGGTAAAAGCTGCAAAGCCAGCCACGTGAATGGTAGTGTATAACCCAAATGTTTGTTCTGTATAACACGGAACTTGCAACTGATTCTAGCAAGCCGATAAAAACAAAACACTCTGGAGAGGTTGGCTAGGGGTCCCAGCACCCCAGGACGGCCTAGTTCAGAAGTAGAGCCCCACCAGCAGCCCCTCCATGGAGCACAGCAGCTCCTGAGCACCCTGAGATTGTGGTAGAAACATAGCGCAGGATCCTCCCAGGCCAGTGCTAAGGCAATACCCTTGGCCTTGGCAGCTCTAATCTGCGCCCCAAGCAGCTCTAATCTGTTCCTCTGCCACCCCAAACCTTTTGAAGCACAGGCTTCACAGCACCCAGCATGTCCTGCCCCACTGGCCAAAGGTTTTACTGGATTCTGCGCTCTTACACCCCACACTCACTGGGTAGAGGGGAACAGGGGCCTCAGGGGCCTCGCCTGGCCTGCCTGCCGGGCCGGGCCTCGGGGGTTCCCACCCAGCCGGCCCTGCCTCTGCTATGCTGTGCCATCTGCAGGCAGCTTCCAAACCACAGGACAGTCTTGCTCTCACCAGGTCACTGTCTTGTTCTAGAGCTTTCTGCCATCCCCAGTCTCCTGAAAGGTGGCATTGCTCTCCTGAAAAGAGTGTTCCCTTCTCCACTGGCTATTCGCCCCAATGCCCACCCATCCTGCTCCCATTCTGACTCTGAGTGCCAACCCCTGCCAGGGTGGTGTCTGCCTTACTCCTCGTTCCGTCTTCCCCAGACCACCAACACGTCCCTACGACCCCACCAGCCTCTCTGCCAACCCACGCTCTGCTCTCCTTTCATTCTCATACTTCCTGAGCAACTCCCTGGGCAGAATACCAAGCTGGGTCTTGGGGGAAAGCCCCCTCCTCCGAGAAGCCCGCCCAGGAAGGTAGCATCAGGAATGCATTCAGGCCAGCTATTCCTAATAGAACATTCACGCTTACTTTTGCCAACAGGTGTCTACCAAGTTGTGAGCAACAAAGAGATCCCTCCCACATGACACCCAAGACACCTGAGGACAGGAGGAAGCTCGAGTTCACTTACACCTACTCACTCACCGGCCGGAGGATGTCCCCCTCAAGGAGGAAGCTGTTCTCTGGCGTTTCCTCGGGAATGAGCCCTGGGAAGGACGGGAGGGTCGTGTGAGCCCAGGACCCCCAGAGCACATGCTCTGAGAAAAGCCTTGCAGAGGCCCTGGCTGCCAGATCAAGCAACGGCTGAGTCTATCCTTCCTCCAACTCTGGAGCCAGAGCCCCTCCAGGCGCTGAGGCTGTGTGGCCTCGGACAAGTCACACAGCCCCTCTGAGCCTCAGTCTACTGAGTGTGATGCTCCTCAGCCTGATCACACCCTTAGCTCACTCAGAGGCGGTCCATGTCCCCATGACCTCCACAGTCCCCGGTAACTCCTGCCTCTGTGTTGGAGGCCCTCTGCTGCCTGCACCCACCCCGGCCCAAGCCACATTCCCCAGGGCATGTCCTGGTCTCTGCTGTCTCGCCTTGTGTCCCATCTAGTTCCTGCCCCTCTGGGATTGGTATTCAGGACCCTTTTGGTGGCAAGTGACGGCAATATCAGCCGAAACGACACAGGAGGAGAGTGAGCACTGGCTCCAGGGAGCCCGGCTCTCCCCCTCTCCCTGCCTCCCTCTCCTTCTCCGACTCCATTTTCTGCCACAGCTGCAGCCCTTCCCCATAACTTCTATCCAAACATCCGAGCCCCACCAGGGATCCTGGGAAAAGGCCTGACACCCTGGAGGAGCCTGAGGGTGGGCTCCCTAGAAGCAGAGCCGGGCTGGGAGCCACCTGGAAAGAGTTTCCCTGAGAGACAGAGCAATGCTGAAGTCTGGGGGAGGGTCGGGGGTGGGGGGTGAACGGGGCTCAGCGGGAGGGCAGCCTCGGCCCGCCCCTAGGGGAGGCTTGGGCTCCAGTGGCACTATGGTCTTGTCCCACCTTGAGGCAGGGGCCAGACCCATGTACCTGGGAGTTATGGTGGACCCCCAAGAGCAGGGAAGGGAGCAGCTGCCCAACATCTCCGGCCGAAAGCCTTCAGCTGCATGGCCTCAGCAGCCAGCATTTCCAGCAGCTGGGACCGAGTGCTTCCAGCTGCTACAGGAAGCTCATGGATCTGTAGTTGTCTGGGCTGCCAGCAACAGTAGCTAAAAGCTTTCTCTATCGCATTTAAAAACCAATGCCAGGAAAGCCTCAGTTTGAGTCTGGCTACCTCCAGACAGGTCAAAGTCACCAAAAGGTGGTGTCCTGCCACACTCCAGCTCCAGCTCAGCAGTGCCGGGGCTCTGGGCCAGCTCAGAGAGAAAGAAGCGAGCAGAACACGTGGTGACTACCGCACCCGGGTCCCGTCCCCCAGGGCAAGGCCACTCCACTCCCTCCAGGAAAGCTTCTAACATCCGACCCCCAGCCTGTGCTTCCATCAGCGTGGACCCAGCACACCAATATGTCCTCATTCTCCACCGGAGACCCCGGTTGGGGAGGCCGTGGGGCTCGTGCGTCACTGCCTCTGCACCCCCGGCTCATCCCCGCACACCTGCAGGCCACGCAGCAGCAGGTGGCCCACGTTTCACACAGCCACTAACAACTGAGCTGGGCACCAGGTGCAGAGAGCCCTGTACTTTTATCAGGCCATTTATCAGGCCATTTGTAAAAACCTACACTTTCCCCTTCTTATAAAAATAGTAAGCAGTGGAGAAGGTAGAAAAACAGACTTGGAAGAAGCGGAAGGTAGAGCCCCTCCTCTAGAACCCTCGAGTAAGCCTCACGCTTCCTGCCAGCTCTTTCTGCCTGCCAGAAAGTTAGCACAGTTCTCACCACACCCCTTAGTCAATGTCATGCCCTGGCACCCCGCAACAAGACACAGCGCCCTCACCTTGGTTAATAGCAGGGATGTCCTTGTCCCAAGATGTCTGGGTCTCCTCAGGGATCAGGTCTTCCGAGAAGCTGCTCCCACAGACTTCTGTGCAGGTGGAGGCTGCGGGCGCTCCTAGGATCAAACCTGGCCCAGACACAGGGCCCATGGTGCCCCCATTGTAGGAGAGGATGTTGGAACATGGGGTGGGGGTGGGTGAGCCTCCTCTAAGGGAGGCCTCAGGCAAGGAGCCCTGGCAGCCTGCCTGGCCGCCTCTCTCAGCCACTGCTGGTGCCAAGCCCTGGCCTAGACAGCTCTGAGGAAGAGGCTCCCTTTGATGGACGACTGAGCCCGGACTGAGTGAGTGGGTGTGTCCGAGGTAGAGGAGGCAGCAGGAAGGAGGGGCAGGGGCGAACCTCAGGCTGCAACAGGAGGACACAGTGAGGGCTAGCCTCCGACCCTGCCCTAAGGCTCCCTTTTCAGCCTAGGCCTCGACAAGCCTAGCCCCGCTGGCAGAGCCAGCAGAACCAGGAGTCTGGAGTGCCACAGCTTCCAGGCAGGCCCTCTGCTTCCTGGGTCTTCAGGAGGCCTCCCCTTGGGGCCCCCAGGAGCTGACTCTAGGAATATCCCTGAAAAGCCCATTCTTGAGCCATTCAGACCCATTCAGAGCCCTGCAGGCTCCAGCCACACCCTCGGGCCTCTTCCAGCACCTCTTCAGGCTGGAGCCAAAATGGGAGGGTGAGGCAGCTGCTTACCTGGCAAAGAGAGCAGACCCAGCACCCAAGGCCAGAGACGCCCCATGCTTTCGCTGTCTGCGGTGGGCCCGGTAGTCCCAAAGCAAGCAGGAGCTGCAAACCAGACAGGAAGAGTCAACCTAATGACAGACTTAGTGCCAACCCCGACCCTTAAATAGCAGCTACTGCAGCCCTCACCTGCAGCCCCTACCCAATCAACTCCATCTGCAGACCCTCTCCAACCAACTCCTCCTGCAGCCCCTCCCACTCCTGCCTGTGCTCCCCACCTGTGGACTCTGGGATTCTGCAGTCCCTACGGAAGGTGCAGGAATTTTACACAGTGGGGTTAACAACAAATCCCACTTTACATCCTGGTCAGGTCCTTCCTGGACTGGCTAAAGTGGATGAGAGCAGGGAGAAGCTGGGTACAAGGCTCCTTGGGGAGAGGTATCCTGCTGAGGCTGTGCCCCTGCTGAGGCCCCCTCCCACCACCAGGGGGCAGAGAGGAAGAAAGATGCTGGGGCTCAGCACTGGGAGGGACCTCATCCTCCAACGCAGGGAAATCCTTTTCCTGCTTCTGCCTGTGCTGAGATGCGGGGGAAAAGCAGCCCGAGACCCAGAGGCTCCCCCAATCTGTCTGTGAAGGAGGGAATGTTCACTACATTTTTATAAGCTTTGATTTCCACATACATACAGAAATGGATACAATCACAAGTGCAGGAATCAGAGAAAGTTCACAAGCTGAATGCGTGGTATAAACAATGCCCCAGAGAAGCCTGCCATGGGGAAGGGGGAATTCTCGGATACCTAGACCATTGCATGGGTGCTCCCGTTATCCCCCCAAAACAGCCTTGCAGAAACAGCTGTGCAAATCAGCATTTAGACCCACTTCACAGGTCCAGAAACTAAAGCTCCTTGTCCCTCTTCTTGCTCCCCTGAACCCCCTCAGCCTTTCAAGAGGTCTGTCCTCAGAGTGTGGTCATCACGGGTCTGCCTGGATTAATCTCCTGGAGGCTGAGGATTTGGGGACTTCAGTGAAGGGAAGCCACAGCACCAAAGATGCTAGCTATTGTCCTCAAGCACCTCTCAGCATCCTGCTCTGCCTGCAATCCAAGGTATCTCAAAAGATAGGACTTGGCCTTGGCTGGTGTGGCTCAGTGCATTGAGTGCCGGTGTGCAAACCAAAATGTCGCCGGGTCCATCCCTAGTCAGGGCACATGCCTGGGTTGCGGGCCAGGTCCCCAGTAGAGGGTGCTCAAGAGGCAACCACACATTGATGTTTCTGTCCCTCTCTTCCTCCCTCCCTTCCCTGGTCTCTAAAAATAAAGAAAGAAAATCTCTTTTTTAAAGATAGGAATTATATCATAAAGAGAAATGATGAAGATAGATGCCCTGGCTGCCAGGCAGTCGTAACACATGGAGCTGACCCTTCAGAGGAGAGAGTTCAGTAAAATCATTCTAATAATTGATAATCATCCTGCTCAGGTAGAAAAACAGGTTCTGAGTGAAGAAATGCAGCGCGTCTTGAGAACATCGTGTTGAGTGAAATAAGCCTGTCACGCCGGGACCATGCTCTGCGATCCCACAGGCATGGAGTGCAGAGCAGTCAGATTCCTGGACCAATGTACCGTGGCGGTGGGCAGGGGCCGGGGAGGGAATGGGGGCTGCTGTTTAATCGGGGCAGAGTTCACTTTGGCAAGATGGGAAAGTCCCGGAAATCCACTGCACGGCAATGCAAACACGCTTAAAATGACCAAACCGTAGCTTAAAAATAGTCAAGATAATAAATTTTGTTGTATATTTGTTACCACTGTTAAAGATTTAAAAATAAATAAAAAGGAAGGAAGGGGAGGAGGAAGAGAGAGACAGGAGGGGAGGGAAGAAGTGCAGCTTGTTTGGGAGACAAACTTACAAACCTGGGGACAGGAAGGTGGAGTGGTTGCGTGGGGTGGGATGGGGTGATGGAGACAGGACGGGGCGGGGTGGGGGTGAGAGCATGGGGTGGGTGGGGGCCTCAGCCACCAGTCCCGCCTCGTGTAAGGTGAGCCCTGTGATGGGAAGGCCCAGTGACTCCTCAGGGGCCCAGATGCCACTGCCATCCCAGATGGGCGTGGTGTCAGGGGCAGGTCCAAACAAAAGCCCATTCAGGACCCGAGGAAGCCCTGACAGCCACCCCAGCTCTGCTATTCTCACCAGAGAGCAGAGGGAACAAGGCACCAGGGTGCAGGCTGGTCACTCCTGAGTCCGCCCCATGGAGCGGGTGCACATCTGTGCCAGACTCAGGCACAGGGTCAGCAAACCGTAGGCCCTGCCCTCGGAGCCATCCTGCTTGGTTGAGAGGCACAATGCACACCTGAAAACTTTTGCCTCTTGGGCCATCAGGAGCTAACATTTCCCGAGCACCTACTATGTGCAGGTGCAGGAGCTTCATGGAATTCATGTGTGTCATTCTCAATACCACACTCCCAATGTAGTATGTAAATAAAAATAACCAAATAGCCAAAATCTTTTTTTGAAGATTTTATTTATTTTTAGAGAGAGGAAAAGGGAAGGAGAAAGAGAGGGAAAGAAACATCAGTGTGTGATTGCCTCTCACGCAGCCCCATACTGGGGACCTGGCCCACAACCCAGGCCTGTGTCCTGGCCAGGAATCAACCAGCAACCCTTTGGTTCGCAGCCTGTGCTCGATCCACTGAGCTATACCAGCCAGGGCCAAAATCTTTAAGAAAAAAACTCCCCTGCCCCACTTGGGAGTGCCTTGACAGGCACTCCAAAAGCCCCAAATCATAGAGAGCATTCTACAAGGTGACCCTTGAGCGGCATTTGGGAGAACAAAATAAAGTTAGTGAGATGCCACACGCACGTCCAAGGGCCAGGAGAGTGAGAGCAGAGGCTGAAGCAGGCTCAGCTCTCCCAGAGCTGAACTCACAGCCACCACACCCCTCCTGCAGGCTAGGCAGGCACTCTCCGCTCGGGCTTGGCTGGGCCCCGTCTCACATCTCCCAGACACCTCGTTCTCTTTGGACACCCTGGACTTGTAACCAACACTCAGTGAAGACACACTCACTGGGTTGGCGTGGAGAGCAGTGAAGCCCATACCGGGTGACAGGTACTCAGTACCAGACACCATACCTCATGTCTTCTGGGGACGAGGAGCTGTGGAGCAGGGGCTGGCATGAACCCTAGCATGGACAGGAATTCTGAGGCCCAGGGCCCAACCTGGGAATGTGGAAGGAAGAGGCCATGCTGCCCAACTGGGGGCAGGTGGAGTAGCCTGGCACATGCACACAGCCACGGGGAGAGCCACACACACAGCCACATGCAGATGCATCCAGGAACATAGGACCACCCATGCAAATGACACGTAGGTGTAGGCAGGCCAAGAACAAGACACCCACACACCCACAGGACAGCCACATACATGGGCACGCTTGCGTACACACACACACACACACTTATCCACATTCTCCAGAAAGTAGGTCAGAGCAGGGCAGCGCTGGGCTGTTCTGAGTGCTGGATGCAGCCTTTCCCCACAGGACCAGTGCCTGCAACAGGAGTAGGTTGGAGCCAGTGTCCAGAAACCACCTGGGAAAGGCCACCAGCAGCACAGGAGAGCTGGGGCCCAGAGGGCACCTTCTGCCAGGCAGGGCGCACGTCCACCTTCCTCCTCCAGTTTCCCAGGCACCAAGTCACAAGGAAAGGTGAGCTCTAATTAATAAAGAGCTTTTGAGCATATCCCCAGACACTGACTTGATACCAGATGCTTTAGAATTGGTTTTTTTAAACAAAACAATATTTTATTGACACATCCTCCAAGTTCGGTATAAATATAAAGTGCTAAGTTTCCAGCCCCCGCCCACAGGGCTGGGAGGAAGTAGGGGAGGGAGTGTTAAATGTCAGTTGAACACAAATAACTTTCCAGCGCCAACACGGGCGTGAAATGCTCAAATACACACACGCAGGCGAGAGGCTCACACACAGGGACACGTCACTTCCTCGAGCCCAGCTCCCCAGGAGCACAGGGCTCAGGCTCCGGGCCCTGCAGTGAGCCACCCCCAGACAGGGCTCCTGGTTGTCACAGCTTGTTCCTTGGGCCTCAACACAGAGGTGGACCAGTGGATCCATGGGTGTAGAGTCCAGTTAGTTTCTGCCAAAGAATGGGGCTGGAGGGCACAAATTCTTCACTCTTGTCCCGAACGAGGGCCAGCCTCAGACTCCTAGCAGAAGAGCACCAGGTAAGAGAATCCGGCATTCCTGTACTTCCAGCGCCCCCACCTGGGGGCTTTCCAAACTCCAAGGAAGGGGCAGCTCTGCCTGAGGTAAGGGGCACTGTGAGGCCCAGAAAAAAAGCCCAGCTGTCCCAGGTCAGCTCCCCAGGAACCCGGGGCCGTGAGTACTGCTGTCCTGCCTCAGTGACACAGCACTTGAGTCTCAAACTGTAGCAGCTGCCCCATGAAACTGAAGTTGGGGGAGATGACCCCCCGGCGTTGCTTGACAAAGTCGAAGGCCTCATCCAGCCGCACACGGTGGCTCTGTATGAGGTATGCCAGGCAGATGGTGGCAGAGCGGGAGATGCCAGCCTGGCAGTGCACCAGCACCCGGCCCCCACTGTTCTTCACTGAGTCTGCAAGGGAAACGGATGGACGTCAGACGGGAAGCTGGGCAGGAAGGAGACATGGCCCCGGTCCCTCCCTTTGGTGCCTGCTGAGGCCCCTCATACCAATGAAGCCTATGGCCTCCTGGAACCAGGCGCTGATCTCCACCATCTGGTTGTCCTCCACCGGGATGCTTTTGTAGCGCAGAAGGCCCTCAAAGTGGTTGGGGCAGCTGGCGGAGACGTTGAGGACAGCTGTGATACCACAGGCCTGCAGCCCCTGCAGATCCGAGGAGTGGCTGCAGCTGCCCAGGAACAGGTAAGGCAAGATCTCCACCGGGCCACCCTGGAGGGACAGCGAGAGGGGCAAGGTGAGGTCTGCTTCAGCCAGGCCTGGAGGAGCCCTGGGCCTGTCCTGACCAAGACCAGGCTCTGGGATATGAGGATACCAAGGGACACACAGAGATATAACACTCACAAATACGCATGTTCCCCTCAAAATCCCAAGTTGGCTGCAGACACCCACAGACGTGCATGGGCCACCCATGCCAGGCACACACTGGGATAGAGTGACAAGGTGCCCTGATCTCAACTCACCTGGTCATAGAAGGGAGCCCTGGGGTCTGAGCGGCTGTTTTCTGCCAGAGCAGGCGGTGTCGCTGGGGCGGGGGACTCAGAGCACAGGTCAGGACAGCAGGCCTGGAAGGCGTCAAAGCCTCCTGCGGGGAGGACAGAGGGAGGGTCAGCGGGGAAAGCCAAACAGAGAGAGGGGAATACCAGGCCAGGCGGGGCGGAAGGAGGACCGGTCGGGAGAGCTGGGCTGGCCGCTCACCTCGCAGGAAGCACACTGCCGTGGGCCCGGCAGGAGTCTCGTGCAGCAGCGCGGCCAACAGTACACGGGCCGGGCAGTCGGGTGGCAACGTGGCCAGCGAGGCGCCGGCCTGGTCCAGCACCACCGCGCGCGCCAGCTCCCCGCGGGCCAGGCGTGCTCGCAGCGCGCGGTCTGGCAGCAGACAAGTGAGGGCTGCGGCGGGCGGACCGCGCGTGCGGCGGCGCAGCATCGCGTTCCAGGGAACGGGCCGCGCGGTGCGCACGTGGCGCCGGCAGAAGGCCAGGAAGGGGCGGCAGTCGAGCAGCAGTGTGCGCTCGGCTTCTCGCGGCTCCCGCAGCAACGCACTCAGTGCCGCGCATTCCAGCTCCTGTGCCTCTTCCAGCCCCATAATGCCCGCCTCTTCCTGCGCTTACCCTCCTCGTCCCCTCTCCTCCCGCTACCGCTGCTCTACCCGGGGTCCCGCCGTCTGCCGCTGTTCGGTTGGCAGCCGGACCTTAAGTAGCCTGGCCCCGCCCCTCGGGTCACCATATAAGGGCAGAGCAGGAAGGCGCCGGTTCCGCCCCCGCGGCCTCGCGCGCGCTCAGCCAAGATTGGGGGAGGGGTGCGCTGGGGGAGGACAGGGGACCAGCTCTGGGAGAAAGATTTTGTGCCTCGGGCAGTGGGGTCCAACCTACCCTCGTTCGCGCTGCGGCCTTGAAGAGTCGCTCAGTCCTCAGGCTTCTCAAATGCACATCCCCCCTCCCCGGGGACTTCGGGCAGCGCGGGCCCTGCTCTGCTTCCTCTGCCCTTCCTCTTCCCTCCTAGGATGTTCCCCCAAGGAATTTGTTACAATAAAAGCTGGCGTGTGCCCTAATGGTTTCTACACTTGAGGGTTCACGGCCTCTTCTACTAGACCTTGGGCAGGAGGGGATTGATTTCTCCTCCCCGTGCCCCATTTCATGGCTGAGACCGGCACTCAGGGTTAGTGGCCAAGCTGGCTTAGAAAATGGTCCCCAGAGACCGACACCCTGGGCATCAGGAGGATCCCAGCCTGGGGGAGTGGGAAAAGGCATGGGGCCCATCCTGAATTTCCAGTTATGAGCCGGCAAAGTCTTCTTCCCCAGGAGCCCAGGGAAACCCCAGGGGCCCAAGGCAAAGCACTTCCCCAAGTCGCAGGCCAGCGCTGAAGGGGAACTCTGCTGACGAGGATGGGCTCTCCCCAGGACCTCACGGGGAATTTCAGGAGTGGCCCCAAGGGGAAGAAAGGCAAGAACTACCAGAACCAGCCTCCTTCAGTCCCCCATCCCCCACCCCCAGGCTCCCTAGGCCTCGGCAGACCCCAGGACAGGTGGGAACCTAGTGCTGCTGCTTCACAAGGCCATGATCAGGAAGCAGTGGCAGCTCTCAGAGACCACACCCCTTCTGCCCACCCCCACCCCAGCTGAAAGCCCTGGGGCCGGATGTGGTGAGCCCCAGGTGTGTGTGGGGGAACTGAACTCCAACGCAGAGAAGTTTTGGTGGGTAGGTACAGTGTCCCGGAACTGGAGCTGACCCCATGCTCAACCCCATCCCAACCCCCTCAGCCCCCTTGTCCCTGAGTCACTACTCTGTGCCCTTTGTAAGCCTCTCCAGCTACCCTCTACTGTCCAGACCTTCTTGAAGGACTACAGCTAGGACCCAGGTACACTCCCCAGCCCTCCACTGGGCTTGATGTGTCTGTGTGTTGGAGCGGATCCGCATGAAATTCCACTGTGTTCGAGAGAGCTTGCTGTGGGGGAGAAGGGACACAGGTGAGAGAAGCCCCAAGGACATCCAAGAAACTTGGGGTCACTTCACCCTCTTGTCCCCATCAGCAACATGTGAGCTCATAATAGATCAGCTACTTGTCCACAGTGGTTCGAAGGCTATGAGGCCACGCCACCGCGTGAGCTCCTGCAGTGGAGGGGGAGCTCTTCCTACCCGGCCAGTCTGGAGGCTGATTCGGCAAAGCCACAGCAGAGCCGGGGAGTCTGGGCCACAGATCCCAGAGTCCGATATGGGCCTTATCCTTGGCATCAGCTGGCAGGTGACTTAATGGCTCAGCTGGCAGAGGCAAATTATAGAGCACATGAAAGGACAGTCAGGCCCAGGCTTGCTGACCATGGGGCTGGTGTCACCTGCTGTGCCGGGAGCCCTGGCCTTTCAGCTCCTTGGGCTGGGGGCGTGAGGACTGGCCGGCTGGGATCCCGGCTGAGGAGGAAAGCAGCTCGGCAGCGTGGGAGCTCCAGCCCTGGAACCCACACCTGGCCGGGCCTCTCCCGCTCCTGGGGAGAGCAGGGCGACCTTGCAGAAAGTCACCCGTGGGAGTCAGGGAGCATTGCTCTGGTGTCGAGGGCCCGAGTGTGCTGCCCGCCACTCGGGCCAAAAGCAGGGATTTCTGCCTGTGGTGACTGCATGGATGTCACCCCACAATGCCACTTGCTTTGGGGATCGCCCTTTTCAGCCCTGGAACCCGAGCTCAAGGAGGCCTGACTTTGCCGTGAAGGAGGCGCTGTCCTCCCCCATTCCCAAACTGGGGGAGCCCCCACCCTCATAACGGGGCGAAAGCCTGAGGCCTGGGGAAGAGAACGCAGCCCACATCCCATCCTACTTCTGCTCTGACTAACGATCCCCCAACCCTTGGTGAGTCATGCCATGGTTGTCTCGTCCCTCCTGCCACCCCCTCGAGGACCGGCACTTGCCCTGGCAGAGGCGGTGCAGGGCTCTGGGCACAGGTGTGAGGAGCGGTTTCATTAGACCTGAGGTCCGCAGGCCGCGGGCCCTGAGCGAGGACCCTGCGCACATCATTAGGTGGTGAGGGATGTGCTGGGCTCACGCTCAGCTTTTTTCTTTTTTTAAGAAATTAAAATACCCAGCTGGCCCTGCTCAGTTGGTTGTGTATTTCTGCAAAGTGAAGGTCAGTGGTTCTATCCCTAGGCAGGGCACATGCCTTGTATGAGGGTTCAGTCCCTGGTCTGCGTGTGTAAGAGAAGAAAACAATGTTTCTCTCTCACACTGATGTTCCTCTCCCTTCTTTCTCCCTCCCTCCCTCTCTCTAAAAACAAATAAAATCTTAAATGAAAATACCCAACTGGAAGACAGTATCGTTCAATGCTGTTCTTTGTGACTGGCTGGCTCAGTGCCACTGCCCACCTTCCCACCTTCGGGACCCCTGGTCTTTCCCTGGCCCACCGCGCATCCCAGCCCCCTGCAGCCTGGTTTTCCCACCCACGATCACACCGAGGTTGCCTCTCTTGCATTTCCCTTCCTTCTTCCAAGCCCACACCTCCAGCAGATGCCCCAGGGAGGGAGGCAGAAATGAGTGGTGTGGCCACGATCCACGGGCCAGGGCAGGTGTGGAGGGAAGAATGATGGGGGAGGCCACCCCCAGCCCAGCTCTGGGAGTGAGTCAGGGTGACGTCAGGCTTCCTGTGCCAGGCTTCTACCAAAACAGTGCAGCGGCCACCCCCACAGGCTCCTGCCAGACAAGCACAGTGACTGCACGCCCTGGGAACACAGCCCACCCACGGCGGGGAGGCCGGGCGGGGAGGAGGGCTGTGACCGCAGCACCCAGCCCTCAGCGAGCGGGCTCCGTGGAGGGCCTGCGTGTGGCTAGGGCAGCTGGAGTCTGCACACATGGGGTACATGGTGTGTGTGCAGGCAGGAACACACTTGGACAGCCCCACTGGACACGGTGAGTGTGCCAAGAAGCAAGTCTCCAGGTGGAATGGCTTTGAGGCCTCTCAAATATTTGCTTTTTCTCGTTTTAACAGACAGGCCCGGTGCCTTCCCCAAGCATCCATTCCAGACCATGCAGCCTTTCTGTTTATTCATTTCCTCAGCCCCTCACTCGAAAGTGCAGTGTGCCCCTGACTGCGGTGGGTGCAGGGGACACAGCAGTAGAGCCCAAACCACCGCCCTTGGGGCGCTGACCTCACTCATTTTGCAATTACGTTGCACTCATGACAAATGAGACTAGTTATTCACCTAGAGTGCTCAAATAGTTTCCTTTTAAAATAGGTTTGTAACAGCTGAGGGGAATGGTACAGATGGCACCCAGAGGTGTTACTCTGTGTGATAGGGTGGGAGACACTAGAGTTGGGACACGCTGCCAAGGAGAGGCCCCTCGGCCTTGTCCAACTTCGGCGCAGAGCCAGTCCACGGGGCCTGGTTCCCCCTCCTGCTGTGGCCTCCCGTCAGGAGTGGAGGGGGAAGAGGCCACATCCCTGAGGAAGGGGCCCTGGGGAAGCCGGTCTTGTTGCCAAGTCCAGAGCTGACTCCTCCAGTCTGTGTCCCTTCCTGCTCTGTGGTGTGTCTATTGAAGGGACCTGGGCTTGGCTGTGCCTCTGGATTGGCCTGGGCTTGGGGCTGGAGGAGACCCCCTCCCCGGTCTCTTCCCTCGGTGCGTACCTGTCCTTGGTACACTGTGGCCCCAGCCCACGGCAGCAGTGAACCAGCCCACTCCCACCCTGTCAGCCGGGTGCCCCTGGCGCAGATCCAAGTGGCCGAAGAGGAAGAAGTCATTGCTAAGGAAGAGCTCTGTCACGAGTGTAATAGTTGGGAAACAGGTGCAGGATCCTCAGAAAAGTGGCCACTGTGGTCAGAGGGTAGGTGGCTTGTGTCCAATGGACTCCCAGGGCGTCCCTAAAGCTGAAGCCAGGCACAGCATGCAGGTGGCAGGGGGCTTCAAGGCCCAGAGGAGCCAAGACTGCTCTTCCCCCTCACCCCTGACATGGTCACTACCACCCAAGACCAGCTGAGCCACCACCAGAAAGACCAGTAATGCCGGCAGCCACAGGGCCACAGCGGCAGCGATGCATGTCAGGGTGTGTGGGGATTCAGGAGCTGCATGGCCTTGGCTCAAACACAGAGCGGCTGCTTCCTCGCTGTGTGACCGGCAACTTAACCTTGGCCAAGCGACTTAACCCCTCTGTGTCCTCATTAAACAACAGCAATGACTAGTGCTAGGTGCCTTCTAGGCACTGCTGCACCCAAGCATCAGGCCTCAGGGGCAGCCTCAGCACCCTCCCTCTGCAGACAGGGAAGCAAGGCCACACACCAGTTCAGTGGGAGAACTGAGGTGGGAACCTGGGTGTTAAGCATGAGGTTGCCTGGCCTCTGGGCAGGGCCTGCTGGCCCCGATGCGTCCTGCATCCTGCATCCACCCCTTTCCCACCACCACCCACCGCCAGGGTCCATCTCTCCTCATACAGACACTACAACTCACACTGGCATGCTTGTCATGTGTCCCACCTTCTTTCTAAAATCCCAAAGGGGTGGGAGGATTGGCACCCCAAATACAAATGGGGGACCAAGGCACCAAGAGGCCAACTGACTTGCGCTGTCACAGCTGGTAGATGATGGAGCCAGTGTTTGAACTGACAGTTCTGAGGCTCCCCATCCTGCCCCCCAAACCAGGTTCCCACCCAACCCACCAGGCTCTTGCCTCCCGCCCCCCTCTT